GCCGGCAGGTCACAGGTTCAAATCTGGGGAGAGGTGGATGAGCTCCCTCTATCAGCTCCAGCTCCTCATGTGGGGACATGAGAGAAGCCTCCCACAAGGATGATAAAAACATTAAAAAAATCATCCGGGCGTCCCCTGGGCAACGTCCTTGCAGACGGCCAATTCTCTCACACCAGAAGCGACTTGCAGTTTCTCAGGTAGCTCCTGACACAACAACAACAACAAAAAAAAAAAGCAAACAAAAACGCTTTGGCGGGGAAGTAATAAAAGGTGTCCATGTGGACATGCCGGCAATTCGATTGGGACAGCATCTAAAGACAACAAAGCTCCTCAGCATGTAAGATGGAGCAACAGCCCCCCCCCCCCCCAATGGCTGGAGTCAAGCAGAGCCTTCAGATGACGGACATGAAATCTGTTTAGGTACTGTCTGTCTTTGTTAATTGTATAAAGGCACTGAATGTTTGCCGTAGATGTGTACTGTAATCTACACTGAGCTCCCTTTGGGATATAGGATGGACTATACATAAAATATATTATTACTATTATATTATTATCCAAGGGCTTAGGATATTAGAGGTATTTTCGCAGAATCTCTATGTTTTTCTTCCATAGAAAGAAACTGAAATTGTGACTTTTCTGCTAAAGGAACTAAAGATGTATCCATTGTTTGCTGGGGGATCACAGTGGGTGCATCTACACTGGAGAATGAATGCAATTTGACTCCATTATAACTGCCATGGACCAATGCTATGGAATCCTGGGATTTGTAGCTTGGTGAGACATCAGGACTCTTGCACAGAAAAGGCTAAGTACAACTGCCATAATTCCATAGCATTGTGCCCTGGCAGTTAAAGTGGTGTCAAGCCGCATTAATTCTACCCTAAGATGCCTATGCAGGATACATCTGAGAAAGAATGTGAAGTTTTTGCCTTTTGGGGTCAAGTAGATATTTTCTGTTTTTTGCTGGAGTTTTCTTTTTTATGCCCAATTTGCAGAATGTCTATATGGAATTAAGGGGTGATTGAAGATGGTAATACAAATATGCAATTAGTAGCAGTTGCAGACATCATCTCCCTGCCCCACCATAGGTCACTGAAGTTCAAAGTGAAAGAGGTTGGCTGGATCTAGACTGATATATGATCCAGTTTCAGAATGCCAATTAACTGCATTGAACAGGATTATATGTAAGTGTAGACTCATATAGTCCAGTTCAATGCAGTTAATATGGCAATGTAGATCTGGCCTTAAATACTTCAGTACTCAACTCTTATCTCATAATTTCCCAGTTGGTAAGCAACTACCTTCATATGTTGTGATCCAGAAGTATAGCACACTAATAGGTGAAGCAAACAAAATTCTTATATATGCTAAGTTTACACAGAAAACAGCATCATTTATGAACAAAAACAATGCTGCTTTCTGAGAAATGAAACCTGGTGTTAATTATACACAGAATACATTCCAAACTGGAAAGAATCTCATCAGTCCAAGACTCTCCTCTTTAAAGTTTCCAGACATTCAAGAAGCATTTAAAAAATTGTTTTCCAAATACTTTCAAATAGTCATTCATCTCTAGTCTTCAGATCTCTGGAGGCACATGGCTTCGATGTTTTTCACTCCAAGGCTTAGATTGAATGTTAAAGGTAATATCCAAAATGTCTAAACCTACTGTTTGGGAGATAGAACTCAGTGCTTTGGAGACCCCCTGCTGGGTCAGAATTGTGCATGCTATTACATTAAAAATGCACCAAGAATGAATCAATACAGACAAATCCAATTACCGTAGCAACAATAAAACAGTCACCTTAAAAGAGAATAAAGAATTTTAAAATGTACATGGCTCAAAGAAACATCAACTAGCTCTCCAGTGAAAGAGCTGCTAGCTAGCTCTTTATATGGTGCCACCCTGTAGGTAGCAAAGAGATCACTACAGTCTTACACAGGAGAGAGCAGTCTGCATTCCTGAAGCAATACTCTCTCTTGGTCGCATCTCAAAAGTCTACAGTAAGCTGTCGTTTCATCCTTGTAGCAACAGGAGTATGTGCTTCCTTTAGCTGTCTGATCAATGTGGAGGAAGGAGGGGAAGAGAGGAAGAAAATGAAAAAAGAGTGATATCAGGAAGGGAGGAAGGGTTTGTACCACTGATTGCCTCTGCTCATTGTGAGCCTGCAGACCTAGCACTTTGTCTCTAGGGAGCAGTGGACCCAAGAAAAAATGTTATCCATTCCTGCCTGGTAAATGTGCAAAACACCAAAGGAAGCAAACCAGTTTGATCTGATCTGGAAAAAAAATATCTCCAAATCCACATTCAAGCAATAACTCTATGAATGTATGTATCTGCATTAAACAGCTATAATGGTTTGATACTGATCAAACTGCCATGGCTTTATCCTATGGAACCATAGGATTTTTCATTTGGAGAGGGAATTGAAAGAGGAAACTGTATGGCACTTTCTGGAACAAGAGTCAATAGTTCCACGCGACTTATAAATGGTTGTAAGAATGGTAATGAAGTATATACTGTACAGGCTGAGTCCCCTTTATCTGGAATGCTTGGGACCAGAAGTTGTATGGATTTGGGATGTTTTCAAATTTTGGAATACTGATATGTGTATATATACATTTATATATGGGGTCCTCCCAATTTCTCTGATGAAAAATTCAGCGATTACTGGGCATGTGACTAGCCCCCTTTCCCAAATGGGGGAAGTGGGCAGCTGACAGTAAAAAGTTTCAGTTTTTGGAATATTTCACATTTTGAATTTCCAAACAAGGGAGATTTAACCTGTACACACACTGTGTTGGGTTTGTTCATGATAGTAGGACATAAACTTTCAGGTTCTTTAGAAATCTTTTTTTTATATATATATTCTTTATTAAGTTTTCCAGTTATATACACATATAGACATCACATAACGACACATGTTTCCGTACATATATTTCTTACCTATTATTTATATATAGAAGTGTGCTAAATCACATAGCAAGCTTCTATTCTTTAGAAATCTTTACCAGGTCAGATCAGGTGAGCAAAGAATGTGCGGAGACATAGTGGGAAGAGGATATCTACACTGGTAACCCGGAGGCAAGTATTTCCATCTGTATTGCAACATACAACCTCATCACATGAGGTCTAGGCTCTGTCATATGAAACTGTCAACACAGAGCCAAGATGGACTGGATGGAGCACATCACATGATGCAAGGCTACTTCTGGCAGGGCTCCATCCTGGCTTAGTGTTGAAAGCATCCTATGGTGGAGCCCTGAGAACATAGGAGGCTTCATGTGTTCTCATAAGGTAGAATGGGGAAAGCTGGGCAGTGACACTTCCCTCCATGAGACGGGGAAGGGGCCTGCCCGCTGGATTTGCTCCTCTGCTCAACAAATGCCCCTGCTGTGGCCCAGCTTCAAGATAAAGATAAGATAAAATGAGTATCTTATCTTGAGATTAAGCTTAGATATGTTCCAGTATTGCGGCTGGATCAGGACAACTATTATGACTATAGATGAGAAGGTTTCTTAGTACAATCTAGCATTTGAAAATTCATACTGGGGACAATGATGTTTATTTGGCACTTGTGGGACTCATGTAAACAGCATTCCAGTGCACCACCCAATGTACTCCTGAGCATTTCCCTGATGGCCACGGATCCTGCCCCTTTTTGAGACTCTGTTCCCCACTTCCTTGTGCTGATTCACAAGGAAACAACTAAGCAGAGGGCCCCTGAGCAAGGAAGGGAAGGGCATCTCAACTTTTAATATATGTGACAAATAAGAAATCAGTATGTGAGCCAGGATGATAAAAAATAGTTCTAATACAGAAATTTCCAAAAAAAAAAAAAAAACAACAACAACAACAAAAGGGAGTTGGTCACTATAAATGAATGGGCAAAAAGCACTAGTTTGCATAATGGAGCAATGGGTCATGGTGGTGCTATTTGAAATAATCTATCATGGCTTTTTCATACATTCATGCGACTATTTCCTGAGTCCCTGGATGAACCAACCATCCAATAGTAAGACATGAACTACAACTCTGAAGAGCAAAGCTTTTATCGTCCATCTAATCATCCATCACTTTATTTTTATCCCACTTTCTCTCAGATTAGGGCTCAAAGCAGCTTACAAAAAAGCAGAAAATCACAGTTGACTCTCCATATTTACAGATTCTGCATTCACAGATTCAATTATTCATGGCTTGAAAATATAGATACACACACACATACACACTAGCCATCCCCTAACACACGTTGCTGTGGCCCAGTCCGTATGTGTGTATATCCACATATATTTGTGTATATGTGTATATGTGTGTTTGCATATATATATGGTTTAGCACATGTGTTGTAATTTTTTTTGGCTTTTTAAGTCTCTTCTGCTGTGTTTTTCAGTGTTTTTATGAGTGATGGTCACTCGTTAGTCTGATAAGTGAATTGTGTCCAAATTTGGTGTCAATTAGTCCAGTGGTTTCTGAGTTATGTTAATTCCACAAATGAACATCACACACACACACACCTCTCCCCAAAACACACTGTAATTGTTATTTTATATATTTTATATAAGTGACACCATTGAATATACCGGTATATACCATTGTATATACCACAGCCACCTACGGACCCACCGCCAAGACACCAATCTGCAAGACAATCATCCTCGAGCTATGAGGGATCACCTAAGTAAGTAAGTAAGTAAGTAATAGGGCTTGAGAGGGCTGGTATCTTGGAATCAAACCCCAGTGAATACCAAGGGTCCATTGTGCAATAAAGACAAATCAAAATATAGATTAAAACAGCATAAATGTCAACAGAATTAAAGCATTTAAAATCAGTACAGTATCATAAATCCTTTTCTTGTTAAAAATCAATTTTGAAAGGCTGCCACCAAAATGACAACAAAGAAGGAATATATATTAATGCACAAAAGCTGTCATAAAATGCTTTCATCTGATCATGGAAAGAACCAAAAGCTGAATATATAAACAAAAGGCCATCCTTTACCTTGGGGTCATGTATTCCAGACAGCTCTTCATAGATTTTCTCTCCCACCATGACAGCAGCCAGATTCGCTGTATATGTTGACAGACAAAATAAACAAAAAATGGCCCAGAGGTTCATGAGAAACCTTCCAGTCCAGCACTTGGGGGGTTTTATGGCAGCTGTTCTACCAAACAAGATGGCATAACAGACATTCAAGGCAGAGGAGAAGGAGAAAACTTTATCCCTGTTTCTTCCCTTTGGGGTCATGCCAAAGGGGCTTGTCCATTCGTAGAGGGTGAGAAAGATTGCAGTGATGTGTAGGGCCACAAAAATTCCCAGCCACATGGTCCAGTGGAGTGGCCACATAAAGGCTCCAATAGGAGCCGCTGTGTCTTTGGTTCTCACCAGGATGCCCAAGCTAGTAGAAAAGAAGGGGCTGGTGAAATCAACCACCTGGCTACGGGCTGTGTTGATGCTGAATGACGTCACAGCCATGTGGGCAGTGCCAGCCAATAGATCACCCACAAGCCCTGTCCACTGACCATTTTTCAAAGCCCCATATTTTCCATCACCGACGATGTACAGGTCAAAATCAAAGTTCATATCTTCAGCCAGTTTTTCCAACAGATCTATGCAGTAGCCGTAGCAGCACTGTTTGAACTTAGTGGGCACTGTGTCGTTGCCGCCTTGCAGGTTTTCAAAGAGAGCATCCAGTACAGCCGAATCATTGGTCAAGGGGTCCAGGCAGAGCTGACCTGCTGGACACAAGCCTTCATCATCCACAGCCCTTGTGAACACAAACGGATGTTCAATGAGGGTCACCACCCTCAGATGCAGACGAGTAGGGTGCTGGTTGTGATTCTTGTGCCGCTGGGCCTGCTCGGGCCAGATCCCGTAATCCATGATGATCTTTCCTTCTTGCCAGCTCCCCAAGCGAGTCCACATTGGGTTGCCCACAGGATCATGCTGCAGATTCCAAATAAAGAAGTTGTTTTCGGAGCTGATGATGGAGGAGTCTTTGACTTTAATGTGCCCACTAAGCCCATGAAAGGTGGTATTGGCTAGAAACCTACAGGGCAAAGGCAAGATGTTATAAAACAGATTCAGAATATGCAGCCCCCAAAGATGCCCTGAAATACAGAATGCTATTCCTCACAGTGTTAAGGCCCTAACATTAAGGAGAGTGAGGGAATCATCTCAGGCAGCAATACTGGGAGAAGAGTAATGAGTTTTCCTCTACGATTTTCTGGCTAGTCTTCTGCTGGGCAGCAGAGCAATATATGTCACATAAAAAGAGTGTATATGTGTGTGTTTTTTAAAGTCACCTGTGAACCACCAAAGACCTTAAGATCATCCGGGGGGGGGGCTGCTCTCAGTCCCACCACCATCACAGTCGCGGCTGGTGAGGACGAGACAAGGGGCTTCTCTGTGGTGGCCCCTGGGCTGCGGATCTCTCTCCCTAATGAGGTTAGATTTGCTCCCTCTCTCCTGCCCTTCCAGATGAAACTTAAATCCTGGCTACGGGATCAAGCATTTGCAGAATAGACCGCTTTACTAGTGAAGGTAAGAATTTATTTGACTGCAATGGACTGATTTGTATGATGATTTCAACCTGGCAAACTGTTTTTAATGTATATTTATAATTGTTTTAATGTATATAGTTGTATTTTATGATATGCTTTATATTGTGTCAGCACTGAACGGTTGTGTGTTGGAAGCCATCCCGAGTCCCTATTCGGAGGTTGAGAAGGACGGAGTATAAAAGTTCTAAATAAATAAATAAATTTCATAGGTTTTTCTTAGGAAGGAAATACTCAGAGGTGGTTTTTCCAGTTCCTTTTTCTGAAATATTTCCTACATCACCTGCTGTTCATTAGTGGCCTCCTATCCAAGTACTAACCAGGGCTGAACCTGCTTAGTTTCGCAGATAGACAGGATCTGATGTCTTTAAGGTATTTTCAGATTTCTACACTAGCCAACACTAGGAGGAGATTTCTACACTAACTACACTAGGAGGAGACGGCAATTTTAGAGGATCTATCCAAGTTTCTGACCTCTACCCAACACACAGATTCAGCCACTCAAATAGTTTATTTAAAGTTCAGAGGAAAACACAGAGAGGATTCTGTGTATCGGATACCATTGCGACTCCCTTTATTCTAGAGGAGACTATTCCTTCAACTGTGTTGAAACAAGCCTCCACGTGAAGGCAAAGATGGTCCTTTCATGCTTCTCTTTTGTCAAAAAGTTAAAATGTTCTGTTCTGGCAGGCTTTTAGAAAATTACTGCTAGGGCTTTTAACTATGTGCTTTTTGCTACTCTTAATGGATTTTGGTGTTTTTCATGGATTTGTTTTAATTGCATAATTTAATTGTGGGTTAATCATATGTTTTATGATTTTATTTGTGACTTTGAGATTGCTCCAACTGTGTGTTTTAACTTTTGCAAGCTAAGGTAGTGTGTATGTGTACGTATGTGTGTGTGTGTGCATATATATATAGATATATAGATAGATAGATAGATAGATATAGATATAGATATAGATATAGATAGATAGATAGAGAGAGAGAGCGAAAGAGAGAGAGAGCAATGACATCATCATCTGAAGATTCAGTTGCCCTGTTGACTGTTTTCTGCCCATGGTTTGTTGTTAGCCTTAGGCAGCAAACTATTTATGGCAGGCCCTCTTAAATACTGCTGTCTTTCTTTCAGCAAGCTATATGTCCAGTTCATACTAATTTCTGTGGATGAATGTCCCTTCTTTAGGGTGGAAGATGGATACATATGTATGCAGCTGCAAGGTTCATAATGCAAGGCAGGGCATGATAAAGAGGCTCAAATGGGCAGAGATTTTATAAAAGCGAGTGGGCATTTCTGTAATTTTATGAGCACCTGGATAGAATTCCCATATATATTACATTATGAACTTGATGCAGGATAGGCATAATTGTATCTCAAAGGGTGCATCTACACTAGAATTAATGCAGTTTGACACCACTTTAATCATCATGTCTCAATACGATGGGATCTTGGGACTTGTAGTTTTACTAGATCTTTTGCCCTCTTTGTCTGGGGCCTCATCTACACTGACCACATATTGCAGTTCAAACTGCATTATACAACAGTGTAGATCTAGCCTAAGAGTGCTGGTGCCTCATCAAAATTACAAATCCCAGAATTCCATAATATTGTACCATGGCAGTTAAAGTGGTATCATACTGCAATAATTCTGCAGTGTAGATCCAGACAGGAACACATAGTTATATAATTTGGCAGATATTTCCTGGGGAAAATATACAGTTAGGTCTCTAACAGGGTAAATCATATAAATGCAGTTAATCAATCAATAAAATTAAAATTATGTTCCAAACTATAACCTACATAACAGTTTTGTTCTATTTCAGTTGGCCATCTTCATATAAAGTTCTCCCACACTGACATGATGCTTCCATTTGCCCTTTTCTCTGGAGTGGGCTAGCTGCGACCATGTTGATGCTTGCCATTCAGATAAAGCAATTCAAAGTGGTCCAAATTGAGAACACCTCTAAATGTGTCTGTTGCCTGTGCTAAATGCCTGGATGTATGAAAGAATTGAATAAACCTCCTTATTCTAAATTAATCAGAATGCCTTGCCACATAATTTGCAATTAGTAGTAATGAACATAATTTGCATTTGCAAACATTGTGATAGTTTGAGTTTGTCATTACATCTTGTTATATATTTCAGGAAACTTTTCACCTTTTGGGTATTTTGCATGATTGACCCATGACATTTTGCTGCCTGAGAATTTAACTAAAGCCACATAGGTTCCAATGCCAACAAAGTTATTTTGATACAATAAGCAGAAAGTCTTACAAGAACCTCTTTTCAAGCCTGTGAATACAAGGACAAAGATACCAAAATAAGCAGCTCCTACTTTGCTATATATCATTTTATGTCAACTAAAATAATTTGCCGCTTCTAATGAAACAGGCCAGAGGGGGACAGCCTGAGTGATTCATACAAGGAGGGTCCCAAGTTGCTTCAAAGTGCCATGGCAAGACCCCCTCAGAAGAAAACCAGCAATCCTTCCTTGCACCCTACTATGCTTGATAACTAGAATCTCCAGCCTTCCACTATCAGAGCTTCTGGTGCCTTATCAACACCATAGTTTCCTGGATGAGAAAGATTATCCAGGCCCGTGTCATTCTGATTTCAGGTCTGGTTAAGGCATGTTGTTGTTGTTGTTGTTGTTGTTGTTGTTGTTGTTGTTAAAGGTAAAGGGTTTCCCCTGAGTCTAGTTGTTTCTGACTCTGGTGGTTGGTGCTCATCTCCATTTCTAAGCTGAAGAGCGGACGTTGTCCGTAGACACCTCCAAGGTCATGTGGCCAGCATGACTGCATGGAGCACTGTTACCTTCCCACTGGAATGGTATCTATTGATCTACTCACATTTGCATGTTTTCGAACTGCTAGGTTGGCAGAAACTAGGGCTAACAGTGGGAGCTCACCCCACTCCCCAAATTCGAACTGCCAACCTTTTGGTTATTGTTATTATTATTACATTTATTTATTTATTTATTTATTTGTGCCCCACTTTATCTCCCCAAAGGGGACTTATTTGCCTTGGTGGATAACCTATACAGAGAACTGACCAAAGGGAGTGTGTCCCTGCTGGTTTTGTTGAACCTCTCAGTGACATTCAATACCATTGGCAATGGTATCTTTGGCATTATAGATTACTTTATTGATGGTTATGTGACCCCTGCTCTAGTCCTATCTACAATTCCTTAAGGAGTGTACCTATACAGGCAGCCCCCAAGTTATGAACAAAATAGGTTCTGTAGGTTTGTTTTTAACTTGAATTTGTATGTTAGTCAGAACAGATACATTTTAAGTGTAACTCCCTCCCTCCCTCTCTAGCTTTGGAGAGCATAGGGAAGGCTTAACCACCCCTGTGGTGTTTGTTTTGCTGTCTTGTGTCCCTGTTCAGAAGATTTCACATCAATTTTGGTCTCTGTGAGAATTGGATTTTGAACAATTTGGCATGTTGTAGAAACAAGGATTGGTGAGAAGGCTTCAGTGGAGACACCTTGTCCCCATGCTAACTCTTTCAGGAGTGAATTTCCCTTCCTAGGGATAGACTTTTCTCACTCCCCTTTGTTTCATCCCTGTTCTTGACTATGAGTCATTTGTAAATTGGATGTTTATAACTTGGAGACTGCCTGTATATGGTACCCCATTCACACTCTGAATATACTAACAGCAGCATATCTAAACATTGAATGATTTCACATTAGATTTTTAGATGTTCTGGTGGTGGTATTTATTTATTTATTTATTTACTATATTTGTATACCGCCCTTCTCAGCCCGTGGGCAACTCAGGGCAGTTTAAAGAGGCAAAATTCAATGTCCAACAACATAAAACACTTAAAAACATTTAAACCTTAACATGTAATATATAATCATAGTAAAATCAGTAACACCCAAAATATTTCCGTCCCATCATCCAGTCATTCTGTACTCCTATGTCTGTTACACTGCCTTAAAGATTTCCAAATGCCTGCTCGAATAACCAGGTCTTAACTTTCCTCTGGAATGTTAGCAGCGAAGGGGCCAATCTGATGTCCTTAGGGAGGGCGTTCCATAGCCGGGGGGCCACCACTGAGAAGGCACTGTCTCTCGTCCCCGCCAAATGTATTTGTGATGCAGGCAGGAGTGAGAGCAGAGCCTCTCCAGACAACCTTAACATCCTAGTAGGTTCATAGGAGGAGATGTGTTCGGACCGGTAAGTTGGGCCAGAACAATTTAGGGCTTTATAGGCTAAAGCTAGCACTATGAATTGTGCCCGGTAATAAACAGGCAGCCAGTGGAGCTGGTGCAACAGAGGAGGAGTATGCTCCCTGAGCACTGCTCCAGTTAGTAACCTGGCTGCTGTCTGTTGGTTCATTTGGAGCTTTCGGACATTCGTCAGAGGCAATCCCAGGTAGAGAGTGTTGCAGTAGTCTATACGGGATGTAACCAGAGTGTTAATTGGGCACCATATACAGAGTGTGAATGGGGCACCATATATAGGCAGTCCCCAAGTTCATAGACAGACTACTTCATCACACTAGAGCAGTGGTTCTCAACCTGGGGTCCCCAGATGTTTCTGGCCTTCAACTCCCAGAAATCCTAACAGCTGGTAAACTGGCTGGGATTTCTGGGAGCTGTAGGCCAAAAACATCTGGGGACCCCAGGTTGAGAACCTCTGCACTAGAAAATGAATCCATCTTAAATCCAGTTGCTGCCTCCTGCAGAATTCTGGGGTTTGTAGTTTATGGAGATGTGTTTAACAGCCTCATTCAGCTACAAACCCTGGAATTTTGCAGGAAGCAGAAACTGGACTTAGAGTGGATTCATTCTCTAGTGTGATGAGTTCCAGAAGCTCCTCATCCTTCATGTGTATACATTCTGCTGTTTATTTCCCATAGACTTTGAAACAGTCAAAGCAGTCAGCTTTCATTAGTAGGCTAATTAAATTATTCCATATTCATTAGTTTGATGGCTTGGTCATTCTGTCTTTATCTCAAAAAGTTTAATACAGACTGAATGAAGGGGAATGGGCGGCAAGTCAAATCACACAGTGCTTTAATTAGCCAAACAGCACACTTAAAACCACCGTAATTTACAGACGAGATGGGCCTTTCAAACGCTAATGCTTTTTGCCCTGTAACAAGGGCGATCAAGAGATTAGGCATTCACTCAGCCAAAATTCACTCTCATTACATGATCTCTAATGTATATAATCCACTGCAAAAAGGAAAGTATTGAAGAGAGACTTACATTCTGTGCAACAAGAAAACAGCACTAGACTTATGAGCTCACTGTTTAAACCACAGAGACAAATCTTCTTTTGCCATACTAAAGGGCATCCCTTCCCCGTGGCATCACTCATCTTGTAAATTAACTTTTTCTATCATGGTGCGCTCTCCATATGTTTTGCCTATATTTCCAATGGCTGTGCAGTGATGGGAACTGCAGTCCAACATATGGTGGAGGATCCTTCTTTGGAAGCTTTTAAAGAGAGACTGGATTGCCATCTGTCGGGGGTGCTTTGAATGCAATTTTCCTGCTTCTTGGCAGGGGGTTGGACTGGATGGCCCATGAGGTCTCTTCCAACTCTATGATTCTATATCTGAATAACACCATGCTGAGAAATGATTTATGTATTATATTTATTAATTACTGTATTTTCTGGTGTATAAGACTAATTTTTAACCCAGGAAAATCTTCTCAAAAGTCAGGGATCATCTTATAAGCCAGGTGTCATCATATAGGGTGGGTTCTGAAACTTCTGAGCCAGACTGGAGAATCTGCGGTCGCCACATGTGGTGGGGGAAGCTCAAAAACAGCTGTGGCCGCATCCCCACCGTATGTGGTGACTGTATGAAAGCAGGGGTATGGAAAAAGAGGCGGTGTCCAGAAAAACACGCCTCTTTCAATTGTCTGGCCCGCCCTTGTATCCTATTACCGTACCTCCTTCTCTGCCTCTCAGATCTTGCTCCTGAGGACTGCAGTGAAGCGATGCAGGCACACATGTGTGAGATCTGAGAGGCAGAGAAGGAGGTACGGTAATAGGAAAATTACCATATTGAAATCAAATCTGATGTTTTTACATTTTTATTTGGTATGTGTTGGAAGAGGGGTAGACTTACACAGTGAGTATATCCCAAACTCCATATTTTAACTGGAAAGGTTGGGGATCATTTTATACACCCAGTCGTCTTATACACCAGAAAATGCGGTAAATGTGGTAAATGTATTACCTGCCTTCCTTCCATCAAGGGTCCCAAGGTGACAAATACACTAAAAGTTGGCTAAAATGTAATATTTAAAAACTTTAAAAACCAAACAAAACATAAATACTATTAGGAATATATTTCAATTAATTTCATTGCTATGAATTAGAACTATTATTCCTGAACTCTAGTCCTCCAGGTATTTAGGATTTCTTCTCCCAAAAGTTCCAGGTGCCTTAGCCAACGATCAAAGATTCTGGGAACTGAAATCCGGAACACCTGTAAAACCAGAGTTTGGGAAAAATTGAATTAGAAAATGGATGGATGAGCTGAATTTCGTAATGTTACATTTTTTGGGCTACAATATCCAGATTCACCTAGCTAGCATATGCAATTTTCAAGCCCATCACAACCCATCAGACATGCATGCTGCCTACTGGTATGACTTCGGTTTCTGTTTAATATTGGGTGAATGCTCACTGAAGATCATTCACAGAGGAGGTGAAAACATTAATCTGCTTGTCCTGATTAATGGGAGAATGAATCTTCATTGCTCACAGTGGTGGTTGCCTGTAAATCAAGACAGGAGGAGTCAGATTGGGAGACACTACTTAGCTATGTAATTAAGGTAGAATTCCACCCATCCCTTCTACTACCACATTATTGTTTCTATGCACCTTTTGGTGATCTATCCTAAGGTTTTCATTGCAAGATTTGTTCAGAGGATGTTGGCTGTTGCCTTCATCTTAAGCCCCATCTACACTGCCAAATCATGTAAGTTGAAACTGCATTAAATGGCAGTGTGGATTGGGCCTTAGGCTGAGAGAAGATGACTTGCTCAGAGTACCCAGTAGACATTCATAGCAGACTGTGGATTTGAACCCTTGCTTCTCAGAGTCTTGATCCAATTTTCAAATCACTATATCACACTGGTTCTTTATCATACAAAGTGTATCATGTGGAAATGCAATACTTACAAGGTTTACAATATGCAATAGTTCATATTAATAATAAGAAAAGAAATGGAGAGAAAACCTTACTTTGATAAATACTGTCCTGAAGTGAGATTTTTTTCTTCTGTGTTCAAACAATTTGTTGTACTTGGAATAAGTGCCAGTTCTGGCTGGATCATTGTAGCCGTAGCCACAGCTCTAGCTACCAACTCCATTGCATCCTGGACGTAGTCTTCAAAAAAAGACTGTGTTGTTTTCCCATGAGCTATAAGACCCAACGGCAAGCCTTCTGTCCTCAGTTCTTCCACATTGTGCGAATCCCCAAGAATCCAGTGAAGCTCAGGAGGCATCACCCCAAACTGAGTGGTTATCTCAAAAATCCTCCTTGTGCTTTCCATGTCACAGCCAAACATCACCACCGTGGATGTCGTGTCCTTTATGCTCTCCAGCTGAACTTGCAAGTAGGTCAAGAGGTCATCAGTTGTTGTGAGGTTTCCTGTGATATTTATAATGGATCCCAAATGAAATTTGGAGCTTTGCTGTGTGAGGAAGAGAAAATCGGTGATGTTCCATTCTTCCTGGCATACCATCAAACTAAAATTATACCAGTTGTTCAAGGCCAAGATTGAAAAAGTGACATCTGCGTCAAAGCTTAATGAGCGTTCTAAACTCAACTGCAGGTGAAGGGGATTCTGCAAGACAAGAAAAGTATAGATTAGAGAGTCTTACACACAGAGATCAGAAGTTTGGGGATGGACATTTTTGGGGAGACATTCAGTGGTTCTCAACCTGTGGGTCCCCAGGTGTTTTGGCCTATAACTCCCGGAAATCCCAGCCAGTTTACCAGCTGTTAGATTTGCTGGAAGTTGAAGGCCAAAACTGGGGACCCACAGACTGAGAATCCCATATTCTAGTTGTGTCTACTTGAAAGAAATCTCATTTCCTTTAATGGGGCTTATAGTACATGTATATAGGATTGTGGCCTAGTACCAAGCAAGTATAAATGTCTACACAGAAGAAAGCCATTTGGGTAAAATAGCCTACTTCTAGGACTGCCATTTTAGAATTTTTTTCAATAAAAATAAAACATAACATTCAGCAAATGTACATACATCTGACCAAAGAAAAATCAGTCACAATATTCTACCAGGTCAATATAGCATTCCAACTATAATTGATCTTTGTTCTGGATTGCTTGCTTCCATTATAATATAAGTGTTGCGTTTTTTATTCTGGCAGTTATAATCAATTAGATATCAAAATGTTGCATGTTTAATGTTTTGTGGAACTTTTTTTAACCTTTCAGGATGACCCTGATTTTTCTCATTTTGAGAGAGAAATGAAGAAATGTCTTCTTTTCCGCCAGAAAAGTATGAGTTATGGATAAAAGTACTTCTGAGCAAGTTACAGAGGTTTTGAAGAAAATACAGTGCTCCTTCTGTTATTCACATGCCTGAGGAAAGGACTAACCTGAAGCTATTGACAGATTCTCATTAAAGCTAAACTATTTTCAGAATACAGTATGACCCCTGTAGCCCCTGGAGATATGTTCCATGACCTCCTATGGATATCTGAAACCATAAATATTAGTGAGTCCTATATTTTGAATAAACGTGGGCTGGAAGGATACCATAAATCCACACTGGATCACATAGAGAGGTCTATAAATACATCTGGAAAGGAATATTATTTGGAACACAGGTAAACTGAACTGTTGAATATTGAGTCTGTAGGTAAGGGGGTTGTACTATAACACAGTCCAACAATTTCTTTCTTGGTACCTTGGTTTTTAGTCCCATTCCTGGGATTCGTTGAAGTTCAGATTCAGAAAATTGCACTGGGTAGACCACACCCACTCCAGTTTCTCAGATATAGTTGAATTTATAAAAGTTTATATCATAAATCTATGTTATTGGTATGAAATAAGTAGATTTTGATGCTTTTCTTTTAATTTTTAATATGTTTCCTTCATGTCTAAACTATATTAAACACTATGTTAAAATATCCTGATTTTTAATGACTGAGCAGAGTGAAGAGTTATATAGCATATATTCCATAATTCAATAATTGGAGATGATAGAAGAAAACTGGTGCCATTTTTTTTTGAATCAGTTAGTCAAATATACCCAGAAACAGGCCTAATATTTGGGGCATCAAAGCCAGTGTAATCTTTATATCCTACCTGAGAGTCTCGGTCCCTAATTTCCTCCTTTCCAAGCCCAAAAAGGGAATTTCTACTGTCATCTTCCATCCCTGACTGGAGACTGATTTCAGGCTGCATCTACACTGCCATATAATCCCATTTCTGAATCCAGATTATCTGCTTTGAACTGGAATATATTACAGTGTAGACTCATATAATCCAGTTTAAAGCAAATAAACTGGATTCAGAAACTGGATAATATGGAAGTGTAGAAGGGGACACTTCGAGGATTTTTGGAAGCACGTGCTGAGAATTCCTCCATTGCTGTATGGGAGAGGAACATGAAATGAAGCACTCTCAACTTTCCAAAGATCTTAAATATTCTAACTGGGGTTAGTCCATTCTGATAGCTTCTCTCATGCACTCCAAAGGTGGAAGAGGGTGGGATGAAAACTAGATTCCCTGCTGAAGTACCTGGGCAAAGCCTCCTCAAAATGCTCCAAACTGGAAGCATGTGGCTGACTCCCTGGTGCAATCTCTGGACTGCTGCAGGTCTGTGGGTTGAGGAATCGCTTTCTCAATTCATGCTTTGCCCACACAATAAGCCTCAAGTATCAGTTGGGCTACCCAAGCTATATACTTTAACATGTCACAGCAAATAACCGTGCAAAGTAAGCATCAGTATAAGAAAATGAGTGCATTTTGTCCATAGGCTTGTGATTTAAATAAACAAACCAGAAACAGGTTCATTTCCTGCATGAAACCACATCAGGAATTCTATTAACAAGGAAACAGTTAGCGGCATGTTAATCCAAACTGATAGGAGAAAGCAGTACTCACATTCGATTTGTAGTGAGCCTGTGGGAGAATTCCCAAGAGTGTGATAAGAAAAACTGCAATTCGGGATATTTATTCAGTCTCTTTCTCCTCTATAAGTATTCAGAACCTCTTTATATAAGCACAGAGGAAAGCTAATTAAAGGGTGAGACTATTACAATCAATACACATCTTGTAATATCAATTATTTGCTTGAACTATGGAATGAATAAAATGGCCTGATGGCTGTAATTTCTAAAACTCCACCACCTACAGCAGAACGTATGGCATACACTCCAGCTATTTAAGTGGCATTGTTCCTCTGTGTATATGCGTGTGTGTATTAAACAGGTGATGCATGACTTGGCTTTTTTTTAACGCAATAGTGTAGATGGCTGCCAAAATACTTTGCTTGGAAATCAGAATGAAAAACTTTGCTATTCAGTTTTCAAAACTTTATATAGTATATTGTTGAATGAAATGTGTACATTGAGAGTAGATGCATTTACCAGGTCTATCACCCCACCAAATAATTTCTAAAAGGTGTTGTGGGAAAAGCAAATGTGGGTACCTTTCACTCTCTTTTTTCTACTTGACTATCCCTTACTCTGCCAAAGGGATATTACTTGCTGGCAATCAGGGAAGAGAGGGTTTAGCACAATCAGCCCATAGGCTACTTCTGCAATGCCATATAGCATCCAAATGATCAGCTTTAAACTGGATTATAGTGTAGACTCATATAATCCAGTTCAAAGCAGATAATCTGGATTATATGGCAGTGTAGAAGTGGCCCAAGAGTCATGCTGGAAAACCTAGTGATTCCTAAAGAAGTGTTCTCTCAGGTTAAAAAACATAGCAATTTTTAAGTTTATGGTTTATCATTTTCCCAGAGGTCCTGTGCCCCTAACAGTAGCAAATATGGGGGGCTGACCATATCTTCTTTCTTTCCCCCAGGAGGCCAATGTAAATATTGCACCTTGGAAATTCTGAGATAAATGCAAAATATATTACAAAACAATTATGAGTTTTAACAAAAACATTATCATAAATGCCGCCAGAATCACAATGGATTGTGGCAAATCTGGCAGTGCCCGGCATGTGGTGTGGGGAACCCGTTGCCCCATGCCCTGCATTTCTCTGCTTCCCCCTTACCTCATCCCATGGGTGGAAGCATTCGCCGCCCAGGTTCCCCCCATTGATCCCAATGCAACACGGGAAGTCTCCTGTGTTGCCACGGTGGTGATATATACAAGTTTCTCCGCAGTTTTGCAACAGAGCCCCACTGGAAGCAGTTCTACATCATAGGATGGGAGCCAGTGCACTCCGTCACAAAACTGCATATACTGCTGAAAACAGGCCCATCTGATGAGGTCGAATGAGACAGCTATCCAGCCCACCCTTCCCTCTCCCAGTTATCAGACCGAGTCAGCATACCTCGAAGTCTTGAGTCGCCTTCGGGCTGAGAGAGGCGGTATATAAATAAAGTAAATAAATAAATACCCACCCACTAATGAATAGCAATCAGATAATCCACCCCCCCTTCCAACAGGTTGTGAATTGCAACCATGAACATTACAGGCAAAAATTACAGGCAGCTCAGTTTTGTAAAAGTAATTAAGTTCCAAAGCACCTTATTAGTAAACTATTTCCTAGCTGTAGTAATAGGGGGCTGTATCTTGTTTCAGGACATCTATTGTCCCCCCAGCCCTGCTATATGCCTGCAAAATGTGGACTGTCTACAGACATCACACTCAACTCCTGGAATGATTCCATCAGCATTGCCTCTGAAAAATCCTGCAAATCTCTTGGGAAGACAGGCAGACAAATGTCAGTGTGCTGGAAGATGCAAAGACCACCAGCACCGAAGCGATGTTCTTATGCCATCAACTCTGCTGGACTGGCCACATTGTTTGAATGCCTGATCTCCGTCTCCCAAAGCAGTTATTATACTCCCAACTCAAGAATGGAAAACGTAATGTTGGTGGACAGGAAAAGAGATTTAAAGATGGGCTTAAAGCCAACCTTAAAAACTATGGCATAGACACCAAGAACTGGGAAGCCCTCTGACTGGAGGTTAACTGTGATCAGCAGTGCTGCAGAATTTGAAGAGGCAAAAATGGAGGGTGAAAGGGAGAAGCATGCCAAGAAGAAGGCATGTCAAGCCAACCCTGACCAGGATTGCCTTCCACCTGGAAACTGATGCCCTCGCTATGGAAAAACATGCAGATTTAAATTAGGTCTCCACAGCCACCTACATATCTGCTGCCATCATCCTCGGACTATGAAGGATTGCCTAAGTGAGGTAAGTAAGTAAGTAAGTGAATAGGGGCTGTATCTTGTGATTCATCTCAAGCATTCTTGTTGTTTTTTTTGCACTGACTCCAATGATGGTGCATTTTCATCCTGAATGGTTATGCTAAGTGTGAAGAATAAGAATCCGGTGTATAATTTTTCAAAAGTAATTAATAGTCCCTTAATATATCTGTCAGATACCCAGATAGAGAAGAAGATGACTTGCATATAACTCCAAAAAGCCTCACAGATTATGCTAAGCTCCAAATAAACACTGTATTTGAAAACAATATATATTCTTAAGGCCAGGAAAGTGGCAAGCTCTGAGGCAATAGATTAATACTGCACTCAGCTAAGACGATTAGCAATGAGCTGTGCATTTTGAAGCACTGATAAAGAGATCAAGACACAGACCATAGAGCATTGCAGATCTGCTCAACT